AAAAAAAAACAAAAAAAAAAAAAAAAAAAAAAAAAAAACTCACATTTAAGTTTCTTTGTCCAAATCTGTTCACTCTAGAGATTCAATCAGCCAACTTCATGAAGTGCATCCTGGAACGCTTTTTAGATGCTCTGCCTCTAAAATAAGTTTTTATTTCTGATTTAACTTCAAGGCTATTTGGGTGGGATAACAGAATATTACTTTAGTGTGTTTTTGTCCAAAAAACACAAAAATAAATACATAAATAGAAAATTAAAAAACAAAAAAAACATTTATATTTAAGGCAAGACACTGCAGGCAAAAACATTGTTTTTCATGCACCTGTCAATTTTGAGATTTTTGGGTTTTCATGAAGTATTTTGTTCAGAACATATCTTTAAAGGCTTAAAAAAATTCTGGTGTTATTTATTTTTATGGTGACATTTTATGGTGTTTATGAAGTGATCAAAAGAGATATCCATGTTCCTGTGGCTCAGTGGTAGAGCACTGCGTTAGCAGCGCAAAAGGTCATGGGTTCGATTCCCAGGGAACACATACTGGTAAAAAATGTATAGCCTGAATGCACTAAGTCGCTTTGCGCCTGCTAAATGCATAAATTATTTAAATTATTTATTTATTTACATCCAAACTCCCCCCTGTAAAAAAACTTCGAGTCTAACATGTCAAAATGACAAGAATTTTGAACCTGGCTTCATGCAATGCTGAGATTTTTGTTCTAGAAATGTATGCAAATCAGCGCATATTTAATTACATAACACCTCATTTGCATATGTCAACATAGCATTTCAGAAAACATTTAATACAAAAAATCTTTGTAATTCTTACTGCAATCAATCAACTGTGTAAGTATGGTGATATCTATTAGTTAATTTTTTTTTACCCTATTCACCTTAAGTTCTGATGGTCTGATTCTATTCACTCAATCAACATTCAATCCCCCAATTTAATGAGGAACATACTAAGGATGTTTCATTTCAAGGCTGTGTGGGTGACTGATGACACAGTGCATAAAATAAAACCTTGCAAATGCTCCCTGCTTTAAATGCAGAATACTGTGACTGACCAATCAGAATGGACCATTACAGAGAGCTGTACCTAAATGTTGTCTTGACACACAACTACAGTTCTATCTCACCTTTGTGATGTAGAATTTTTTCAACCCATCCAGGAATGACGTGAACATGGAGGACACTTGTGGCTTGAGTGCATGACCTGTCAAAACAGGAATAGAAACATCAATAGACCTCATTATTAAGCATGCAATCATTCAGCATTTTTCGTGTGCAGCCGAAAAGCTTTCATCTCTTTAAAAAAGGAGAAACGAATGACTCTCGTACTGTTCTAATGTCACCAAACATCCCTCGGTTTTGCCCCTTGGATTTCCTAGAGGCCTCTGTGTCAGATTTATTAGCGGTGTGAACAATAGCACAGTAATGACTGGAGACAGCGAGCGAGAGAGAGCGAGGGGGGGTTTGTCATAAATCATCCTGATAGCAGCTGCTCTGATATGAAACGCTGCTAAATCTCACACACAGTCAGAATGAACTCAGGACGAACACAACATCTCAGATTCATTCCAATCAACTAAAAACTGACATGAATCTGTGTGAGAAATATATCAAACCTGCTAGTCGTGTAACAGCCGCGGTCTAGCGTTTAGCTAGTTGGTTTGTGTTGTGCCCCTCACACTCCCCCTGTCTCTGGCTATCATGTCCCGTCTGCTATACGGTCTCTCAGAGCTGGCCGCTATGATGATATATACCACGCAATGGTAGAAATCTGTCATCTGGTTTTGCTACAGTACATCACTTATACTGTGGCAAATACATTATATTTTCATGGCTATCAGTATTTACACACTAAGAAACTTAGACAAATGTGTCCAAACTGAGCAGGCCGTGTCGCACGCGCACACACTAAACAACGAAACTCCACTGTTTCAGCGATGACTCATCTGAACGCCTCTGATTGGCCATTGCATTCATAAGCTCAACAGACTCGTGTGTGATTGGTTATAATGCGGAACACTGTAACAACGCGGAAAAAGAGGCATGATGCAATATTGAGCAGATCTAAATTTAATGCTGCAGTCAACACTTTTCATTTCAGCCGTAATGGATTTATTTTAACTGTGCAGCGGCATTTTTGTCCATACTTGTAGTTACAAGCGAAAACCGAGGATAGCGCGGATATTACGTCATTGATAGGCGACCATCACCATGGAGGAACAGGGACGAGCCAATTTTTAAAACTGGAATTTCTCTGGATTTACAAATCCTTGGGAATTTTTTGGAATAACGCAAGTACACAACTGCATGAAATATATAACACTGTGCAAGTGTTTTTGCATTTATTATCTTTTGCATCCAAGTTAAAAAAAAGAAAAATAATAATAAACGAACAATCTGAGTTGCAGTTCCTTTAATTTCTTAATGTACTAAAAGTAATTCACTGAATTACACCAAAACAGCCATTACCACAGTTATGTAATGTATAAATATATTTTTTTCTTGAATTTCATCGATATACACTACCATTAAAAAAATTTGGGGTCATTTTTATTTTAATTTTTTTAACAAATAAATACTTTTATTCTGCAAGGATGCATTAAATCAATCAAAAGTGACAGTATTTTATAATGCAGACTCTTATAATGGTACAAAAAAAAATGCTGTTCTTTTGAACTTTCTAGTCATCCATTTCTATTCTAATCCTGAAAAAAAAAGTTTCATGGTTTCAAAAAATAAATATGTAGCACAAAAGTTTTTCAACACTGATAAGAAATGTTTCTTGAGCAAAAAATCAGCATATTAAACTGATTTCTGAAAGATCATGTGACACTGAAGACTGGAGTAATGATGCTGAAAATTCAGCTTTGCATCACAGGAAATAAATTACATTTTAAAATTGAAAACAGTTCATTTAAATTGTACTAATATTTCACAATATTCACAATAATTCACAATAAACTATTTTTACTGCACTGAACATATACATTTAATAAATGAACTAGCACTTTACCCATGATGTAAAATTACTTTATTCGGAGACATACTTTTTTTGGTCATACACTTTGTGGTACAGTAAAGTTTACACAGAACAGATTTTCAGTCATTTCAGTCACATTCAGCCCCAGCGACCTTTAATTTGTGAGGATCCAAACCCTTACAACACCATTCTGAGATTACACAGCCAATGCGTCTGAACGCATTACAACACTCATTATCTCCCCTTTCTTCTGGTTGCGATTATAACACACACATATAAAAATAATACAGCCACACTTCTGGGCTTAAAGAGTGTGCATGCTGCAAAAACCATCATGATTACAGAGACTGGAGTCTTCATTAAAGAGTCAATACATCTCTCTGCCTCTCAGAAGTGCACCGTCGATGAAAACACAGGAGTTAATGAGAACCCTGGGGACGGGGGAGGACTTTTCCAGATATATCTGGCAACCCCTCACAAATTCCCCCACATCTCCGCATGTAACGATATAAACCTCGGCTGCACTGTGAGCTTAATTGCTGCCAGGGCCATTTTTCATTGTTCCTGAATTGTGTGTTTGTGCATTCGTTCGCTGGAGTCTTCATTAAAGAGTCAATACATCGCTCTGCCTCTCAGAAGTGCACCGTCGATGAAAACACAGGAGTTAATGAGAACCCTGGGGACGGGGGGGGGACTTTTCCAGATATATCTGGCAACCCCTCACAAATTCCCCCACATCTCCGCATGTAACGATATAAACCTCGGCTGCACTGTGAGCTTAATTGCTGCCAGGGCCATTTTTCATTGTTCCTGAATTGTGTGTTTGTGCATTCACTCGCTGCTCAGCTGGTAAAATAATGATCAATTTCACGTTATACGAAGCGGCACGAGTGGGGGGTTCTCCAGAGATAAATTACACCAGACCAAATTAAACCACTTGATGTAATGAATACACAAAACAACAACAACAACAACAACAACAACAACAACAACAACAACAACAACAACAACAACAACAACAACAACAACAACAACAACAACAACAAATAAAAACCAAAACAAAGCTCTCAAATGCTAAATCTTTCAATTCATCTCAGTGGAGTGGAATATGAAAACAGAAGCCAGAAATGGATTATAACTGATGACTGTGGAAACACAGGCTCTCTATGGTTCTCAGTTTTCCCATATTACATAACCAGCTCATAACACTCAGGTAATATTCGGTTATGAATAAACAGCACTGCTGGATATTATGTACCTGTCAATGATGGTACATCACAACAGAAACAAGAAATAGTCTAACTAAACAGAGATGTCATTTAGTTCAATGTGGTTGAAACAGTGTTTGTGATGTCACAAAACGGCAAAGGCTTAGCTCATGAATATTAATTAGGCGTTGCGCAAATAATTTAAAAATGATATAATGATTTTGAAATCAGGTTTATGGCAGAGTAGTTACTTACTGTAAAACTGAAACGTGACCAATAACATTAAGATTGCTGTATAACTGTTCAATAAACAAAAAACAACACATTACACAATAGTTCTTGCACAATAATTTTACAGAAGTGCTTCAAATAAATTATGTAATTTTATTATATATATATATATATATACAGTGGGTACGGAAAGTATTCAGACCCCCTTAAATTTTAACAAAGAGTGAAAAATTTAAGGGGGTCTGAATACTTTCCGTACCCACTGTATATATATATTAAACTAGTATTATTTTAAGAGTACTGTACTATATTATTAATAAAATATATACTACCATTTAAAAGTTTTATTTTTTTAAAAGGAAGAAATTATGTTTATTGATCTAAAGTGACTGTAAAGACATTTATAATGGTACAAATTATTTCAATTTCAAAAAAATTCTGCTCTTTTGAAATTTCTATTCATAAAATAATCCTGAAAAAAAAGTATCAGTTTCCAAAAAAATATCCTGCTTTGAAAATAATAATAATAAAGTAATTATTATTATTGTTATTAAGCATATTATATTATTTCTGTAATAAATATTAATGTAATTTTTCTAACATATTTTATTAAAATATCAATACCTTCACTCTCACATCTACCACTGTCTGTTCCGGTATTTTGTGTCATGCATGAATCAGCAATTGTACATTAAATCTGTACATTAAAATTTGTTGGTCCCGCAGTAATGTTTGAACGTTGAGGTTCTAGCTTCATATGACACACGTGTTATCTGAGGAATGACAGAAGGGGTGCAGGGAGGAAGTTGCCGCATGAGTGTTCAGGACCATGAATATTTTTGAAATACACACTCCATCTTTAACACAAACGTGAATGTAAATGCAAGACATGTCTTCCCAAAGCAGACAGATGACTGCACGTGTAACTGCTCTTTCCTGAGGTTTGTGTGATTGGCTGGAGCAGTGCTGATCTGAGATCAGCCCACACAGGACACAAGGCACTGTAACCATGACAACACACCCTGCACTCCCACACCACAAGCTTTACGTCACCATTTTGCCTTGCCGTGCAACGTATGTACGCGGATACATTGTTTACACTTTGATCTGAACGTAAACAACGTATCCGCGTACATACGTTGCATAAAATGGCACTATAGGGTGACGCGGAGGGGACAAATTGTTGAATAAAGTCGTTGTTTTCTTTGCGCACAAAAAGTATTCTCGTAGCTTCGTAAAATTACGGTTGAACCCCTGATGCCACATGGACTATTTTAACGATGTCCTTGCTACGTTTCTGGACCTTGACCGCGGTAGTATCCTTGCTGTTTATGGAGGGTCAGAGAGCTCTCAGATTCCATCAAAAATATCTTAAAGGCACAATATTTTTAAGTTTTTGCCACTAGAGGTCGCATTTTCAAAACAATAACAAAGGTGAAGCTTGATGACGCTATGGAGGAGAATGTTCCCGGATAAGGTAATTAATTATTTTTTTTATTACCTGTACCTTTCACAGTTATTCAAACAGCGAATAAATTATACAGAGAATGCGAGCAAAGAACATTTACACGGTCAAAGAATATTATGACTGACTTAAGTCTAGTGCGAGTTTAAGCGCTCTCAAAAAACTCCCCTTATAGTCAGTGAAGCTGTCTATGCATGGTTTTATGAATGAATCTCTTACATCACACGTACATCTGCACTTTGTTGTTTATGATGAGAGAATGCGAATGAGAGCTGAATTCAGTCGGCGAGAGCGTGCAGTGAACAAAAAAACTAATCTGAACACCTCTGATTGGCCATTGCATTCATAAGCTCAACAGACTCGTGTGTGATTGGTTATAATGCGCAACACTTTAAAAACGCATAAAAAAATCATGGCGCAACATTGAGCAGATCTAAATTTAATGCTGCGGTCAACACTTTTCATTACATTTTAATTTTATTCACGACAGCGGTAATTGATTTAGTTGAACTGTACAGCAGTATTTGTGTCTGTGTGTTGCGATAGTTTCTACAAGCGGAAACCGATATTACGTCATTGATAGGCGACAATGACCAGGGACGAGTCTTTATTTAAAATTGGAGTTTCTCTGGATTTACAAATCCTTGGGAACTTTTGGGATAACATAAATACACAACTGCATGAAATAGACCACACTGTGCAAGTAGTTTTTGGATATTTAATTACGAAAATCTTACATATTGTACCTTTAATTTGTGTTCTGAAGATGAACGAAGGTCTTACGGGTTTGGAACGACATGAGGGTGAGTAATTAATGACAGAGTTTTCATTTTTGGGTGAATTTTCCCCCTTTAATGTTAGTACATTAACTAAGGTTAACTATTGCTCTTTATAAGTCTTTTGCACTATAATCTGTGCGAAATGTTTTACCTTTTTTTTTTTTTTTTTTTTTTTTTTTTGTGTTTTGTTTTTTTTGCAGGGTTTGTGAGACACATACCGTGATAAAAGCATTAGCAATTAATCGCAACATGAGAATTTGATCAGTCACATGCCTAGTCACCTTTAAGCAAAAATTTATATTAACAAGTCAGAAAAGATGTGGATCTTTTGACAATGTTCTTGTTCACCAATCAAAACTGAATGACTGAGTTTAGTGATTCGCTTCTTGAGTTCACAACTGTCCAGAAAATCAATATTCGTGATGGTTTTTATGTTGAATTTAATCAATCACATAAGCTATCACATGACTTCAGAAGTTACATGGACTACTGCCGTTTTTATTTTTTGTTCCTTTCTGAAGGCAGCTGTGGTTATTATAAAATGTCATTGTAAAAGAGCTGTGTAAAGACTCTTCAAAATATATTTTATGTTCCACAGAAGAAATTAAGTAATATTAAGGAAAAACAAAACTCACCAAACTGAAATTGCTCGTTGTCCATTAGCCGAATGGATGCTGGAGCGCATCTCTGAAACAAAAATAAAGAAAATGAAACTTCAGACAGAAACAAATTAATATATGGAGATGTATAATGACCCCCCACCCATAGTTTAATCAAATCTACAATATTATTATTGCTCAGCAAGTATTTTTATGATATTCCAATTAAAATAAAACCATTATTTTTTTTAAAGGCAGCTGTGGGCAAAGAGAAACGCAGAGAGAGGAGCAGTGCAGGTCTTGAATAGCATAATCAATAATTTAATTTTAACTTTGGATCACACAGTTTGTTTATGGACTAATAAGAAGCAGTGCTGTACAGAACACTAGCACTGTGCTCGCTCATCAATAACAGCAGCAGCAGGTCCACAGACTGATGAGAGGCTGAGATCTAAGGCCATTAGCCAGAGTCTGAGCAGAGCTGTATGCCTTACTCAACACACTCACACAGATCCCTGCCTTCAAATCAATGCTGCTCTCTAACACATGCTAAAATGTGTTAGCAGTTTATTAAAACATGCTATCACATGAAGCATCCAACATGCTAACATGACAAAACGTCTTTTAGACATATTAACCCTTACGAAAATTAACCATGGTTTTATTATAGTAAAAGTGTATGGTTTTTTGGCATATTGATTACCATTTGTATAACCACATTTTTACTACAAATACCATGGTTAAACTATGGTTAGTCCAGCAAAACCATGGTTTATTTGTGATTACCATGGTAACCGTGGTTTTTTGGTTTTATTTGTAGTAAAACCATGGTTATTTAACGTAAGCTAAAACATGCTATCATCATGCTGAAACATCCAAGCAACATACTAGCAACATGCTAAATGTGCTGTAAACAAGCTAAAACATGCTATCATCATGCTGAAACATCCAAGCAACATACTAGCAACATGCTAAATGTGCTGTAAACAAGCTAAAACATGCTATCATCATGCTGAAACATCTAAAAAACATGCTAGCGATGTGCCAATTTGTGCTAGAAACATGCTAAAGCATGTTACCATCATGCTGAAACAACATGCTCAAAGCAACATTTTAGTGACGTGTTAAAATGTGCTTAAACATGCTATAAACATGTTAAAACAAGCTAAAACATGTTTGCAAAATGTTAGCGATGGACAAAACAAGCTAAAACGATGCTAAAACATTCAGGTAATGTGGTAACATGCTAAGTGTCATGCTAAAACATGCTGCGGACATGGTAAAATCTGCTATAAACATGCTAACAACATGCTAGCAATGTGGTAAAACCCTATGACAACAACAGTAAAGACGTTTATAAAAGTATTGCTATTCAAGTACATGCTGTTCTTTTGAACTTTCTATGCAAATAATAATTTTTAAAAATTATCACGTTGTTGACAAAATTAAGCAGAAAAATGTTTTTTAACACTGATAATAATAAGAAATGTTTCTTGAGCAGCAAGTCAGCATATTACGATGATCTTTGAAGAAACACGTGACATGCCTTATGAAAATTAACCATAGTTTTATTATAGCAAGTGTACTAAACATGTTTTTTTCAGTTTTTTTTTTTTTGGGGCTAATTGCCATTTTGTATAACCACAGTTTTACTACAAATACCATGGTTAAAATATTGGTTAGTGTAGCAAAACCTTGTGTTAATTTGTGTTTACAATGGTTTAACTACATAACCATGTTTTTGTTTGTTTGTTTGCTTTTGTAAAATGGTGTTTAATTTTCATAAGGGACTGAAGACTGGAGTAATGATGCTGAAAATTCAGCTTTGAAATCATAGGAATAAACTACATTTTAAAATGTAATATTTCACAATATTACTGCAGCCTTGGTGAACACAAACTTCTTTCCAAAAGCATTAAAAAAAAGAAAATCTTCCCAATCCCAAATTTTTGCATGGTAATGTTCTGGTAATTTGTATCAGCAACTGGTTATAACATCATTTTGAAATCAGCATCACTCAGATTGTCTATGAATCAAACCATCTCTAGAAAATCAGGGTAGTTTTTTGAGTCCCATGCAGTCCTGCACTGACCTGTCTGGCCACCTCTCTCAGGCACGCCACACCCTGCTGGAAGTTTGGGAAGACAACGGAGCCGTACTTCTGATACTCAGGAAGGGGTCGGATCTTCAGTGTCACTTCAGTCACCACTCCCAGAGTTCCTAAGGAGCAAGACACATGCTCAATCAGCTTAAACATACGGGAACCATGTGGTCACAAGGAATATCACAGCAGTAATTGGTTTTAAGGTTTGATCTGATTCACTATTATGGTCTCACAGTCACAGGATGTCAGAGAGTTAAATGTGTATGCAACACACACACACACACACACACACACACATGAATGGAGCCCCTGGCTCTCTGCAGGAGATCTGCGTGTTCATTTTCACCTGAACGCTCAAGTTTCTTCCACTCCAAAAGGAAGCAGAGAGATTTACAGACTGTGTTCTGTGACATAAAGCAGGTCAGTATCAAACGGCACACTGGGGGGGAGAGCAGAGCCACCGAGGGCACAAACCAGCATGACCTCTGACCCCTGAGGGAAGCCCTGCATCTGCTGCTCTGAGACTGAGCTTCTAGACTCATTACTGACAGCCCAGAGCGAGCGTGCGTGTGTGAGTGTGCAACACTGGTGATAAAGTCCTGTGGAAAGTTTATGCTACCCATCAGTGAGACCGCATGTGAGCAGAACAAACCTCAGCAACAACACGCCACTCATCCTCATCCTTCACTCATAGTCTTCATTACAATGTCAAAATACTGGAAGAACTGGTACAACATGTTTGTAATTTTTAAAGAAAAAGACTAACAGTAACAGTAAGTTACCTTATCATACATGATAAAAATATACGGTTTAACATTGCATTATATAGAATTTTACTGTAAAATACTGCCAAATTTATAGTTTTTAGAAGTAAAAATGAATTATCATATAATTTTTGGGCTTAAAAAGGTAAATGTTTTAACATCAACTATATAATTATACTGTAAAATACTGCCAAATGTATAGTTTTTAGAAGTAAAAATGAATTAATGTATAATTTATGTTGAAAAATAGTAAAAAGTAAATAGTTAACATCACAGTATATGTAATTTTACTGTGAAATACAATAAAATTATAGTTTTTGGAAGGGAAAACTGAATTATCATATAATTTTTGGCGAAAAACAGTAAATGTTTTAACATCACCTACATAATTATACTGTAAAATACTGTCAAATCTATGTTTTTGGGAGTAAAACAGACTTATCATATAAATTATGGTGCAAACAGTAAAAGTAGATGATTTATATGTAATTTTACTACAAAGTACTGTCAAATGTATGTTTTTTGGAAATAAAAACTATGATTTGCCAGATCATTTAGGGTAGAAAACAGAAGTTAAAAGTAAATGGTTTAACATCACATACGTAACTTTACTGTAAAATACAGTATTAATGGCTTTTGAAAGTATAAACTGTATCATTATGATAACTACTGATTATGACAACTATATGAATTACCATATCAAAAACAGTAAAGACACATTCCCAGAAGTCCCTGCATGACACAGCACATATGATTATATTTTATTTAAATAATTCATTTTTTCTTATTTTTATCAGGAGTGTCCTTTAGGGTGTTTTGCGTTACAACCTATGAATGTTTGTTGCATATTTTAGAGTAATGAGTGTTACAATAATGGTGTTTTGTCTTTGTGTGTGTCCCAGTCCGTTTATTTTCTATTCAATAGTAGTGGAAATGTTTCACAAACAGGATACTTACGATGAACTCCAATTCATCAAGTGGCTTTCTATTTTACCACCTATATTATTATGGTGGTTATCAGTACATTCTAGGCTACACAGCAGATTTTGGTAGATGGTAGTAACTTGGTATATTAACACTATATCACTCAAAATTTACAATTCTAAAAAAAGTTCACGCAATCCCGGAATTTCATGCAATCCCGGAATATCTCAAACATTGTCACAGTAACAATTTTATGATGAATTTTTTTTTACTGTAATTTAACAGGATATCTTTACAATGATAACAGACATCACTTAGGTTGTATTTAACCCTGAATATTCCTTTAAACATGCCAATATCCCAGTTTACCATCAAACACACACTCACACTAACACTCACACCTCTGAGATGAGAATCCTTACTTTTAAAGATCTCCTGACCCCCGTAAAAACAACAACAATAACTCAGTCATCTGAACTTTAGCGTGTCAGAGGGGGAAAAGGTGAAATGGGCCTTTCTTAAGTGTCTAAATGCCCCTGACATTACAAAGCCATTAAAGAAGCCAGATGTCCTTCCTAATGGAATCATGAATGTTTAATTAATGCAGATTAATCCCGGGAAATATTCATCCTCCCACAAAGAATTCAAATGAGCCATAAAAAGCTTCACAGACCATTTTACCAAACACAATGATTATGACCCATTTTCAGGTCAGTTCAGGGCTTCATGGACGGCTAAATGACTTTTTAGAGAGACAAATTAATAACAACATCCTTTCTTTGGATAAGGGTGATACGTTTAAACAGCATCATGACACATATAAGATATCAAGCACATAGTTCTGACTTGCTGCCCTCTCTGAGGAGAGTACAAGAAACATTAGATCATGACAGGCATTAAAAGCTGGTTTCACTGCCCTCTACTGGCTCACAGGAAATCCCAAACATAGTCTCAGTTTCAGACTCTGGTCGCTGATCATCTGACTGCACACAAAACAGGAAAGCACTTTTGAAAATCACACGTTTCAGTCAGATGGCATGACTTCTGTGAGGAAGAACTATGGACTTACCAAAGTTTTCCAAGACTTGAGGAACTTAAAGGAATAGTTCACCCAAAAATGTGCATTTGTTGAAAATTTACTCACTCTCCGACCATCCAACATGTAGATGAGTTTGCTTGAAATGTAGCATTGCATCACTTGTTCACCAGTGGATCCTCTGCAGTGAATGGGTGCCGTCAGAATGAGAGTCCAAACAGCTGATAAAAACATCACAGGGGGTGGACTTTTTTTTACTGGAGGAAGCGTTATTATGGATTATAGAGTCATATTTTGGCCAGAAGTGATGGTTTAAAGCTAAAGTACCTTAATGATGTATTTGTTCCTTACGAACACACCGTTTTTCTCCTCACAAAATGTTAATTGATGGACTGGAGTGCTGTGGATTGTTTGTGGATTATTGTGATTTTTTTATCAGCTGTTTGGACTCTCATTCTGACGGCACCCATTCACTGCAGAGCATCCATTGCTGAGCAAGTAATGCAATGCTACATTTCTCCAAATCTGTTCTGATGATGAAACAAACACTATACATCTTGGATGGCCTGAGGGCGAGTACATTTTCAACAAAATTGGGTGAACTATTCCTTTAATGTTCAGTTTGCTTAATTGTGCACTGTATAATTTGTTTTCAATTTATATATCTTTAACTGTCACTTTACATGTTGGTCTCTTCCTATCGAATAGTGATTATTGCTTTGAAAAAAATGTCAGAATGGCTTCATGCTGATATGACTGCAGCTCTGCAAGAGAAGCCCAGACAGGGCAACATGACCTTAGATAAAGATTTTTTTTAAAAAAGGTTTGCTTAACAAATCTCTCTGATTAAGAGGACTGTAAGAAAAGTGACTGATAAGAACTCTCACGACAATACAAACACCCTTATAACCACCCACGTCACTTCAAATGCAGTATACTTGGAAAGGCTATGTGTTCAGCTGTACACATACGCTAAACATTCACATTAAAACTGAAGTATACTTTGGGCTGTTGTCAGTTGGCATTTGTAGCTTTTTTTATTTTTTTTAAATGTAATTATTTATTTGATTATTTAGGGATCAAAAAGGATTTGAACTGAATCTGAGGTCGCCCAAAGTGCAATCGCTAATAAAAAATAAAAACAGGCTGTAATTTCACCTCCAAATTGAGAAATTTTACATGGAAAAAAAATTTAAGCTATTCAACATTAAGGATTTGTTCGAAATGTTCTTAACTGTCAAGAAATTAAAAACATTCATGGTCTTAAAAATAGATCTTGTTTTCTTTTATCACTATTATAATTTTTTTTTTTTTTTGGAGGGTAAATAAAAGCCAGACGTCAAACATGTTCTTGACACATTTCTGGAGATTGACTGAGAAACGGATCCTTACAGATACATTCCTCACACAAAACATCACGAGTCCGTACCCTCTGAGCCCAGTATGAAGTGATGTATGTCGGGGCCGGTGGACATGCGGGGCCCCAGACAGCTCTTCTCAATCACTCCTCTAGGGGTCACCATCTTTATATGCACCACCTGGGAACACATGAGATCACAGGTACCCTGAATGACCTCCAACAATACATCTACACTGCAGGACTGATGCGGATGAAACCTCTGAAGTGTGTGAGCGTGAATGTGAACTCTGTCCCAGACCTGTGTGTGTTGAGAAATGGGAGACATACCAGGTCCTCAATGTTGCCGTAGATGTTTTTCTTCATGCCTGACGCCCGTGTGGCCACCCAGCCGCCCAGAGAACTGAACTCCATAGAGTCCGGCTCGTGGCCCGTACAGTAACCATGCTCATTCAACTATAATCACATAAAAAACACAAAACAGCCTCAACAGAAATTTACCAAACGAGTGATGCATTATTTTCTGTGCATAATAATTTTCAATAAAATAAACTTTATTAATCAAACTCATTAAGTACATTTTTTTTGTCTAAATAATACAGTATCTGAAAATTCAGTCTTGAATCAATGAATTGATTCACCTTGATATTGTTCCAAACCTGTATTCTGAGTTTCTGTCTTCTGTTGAGTACAAAAGAAGATATTTTGAAGAACGTGGGTAATCAAACAGTTGTCGGTAGCCATTGACGTCCATAGTATGGAGAAAAAAAAATCTATGGAAGTCAATGGCTACCGTCAACTTTTGGGTGACTAGCATTCTTCAAAATGATTATTTTGTGCTCAACAGAAGAAAAACGCTCATACAGGCTTGGAACAACTTCAGGGTGAGTAAATGATGACAGATTTGTCATTTTTGGGGGGAACTATAGTAAAAAATAAATATACTACAATGTGTTCGAAATACATTTATTTAAAGGGGTCATATGATGCGATTTCATTTTTTCCTTTCTCTTTAGAGTGTTACAAGCTCTTGGTGCATAAAGAAGATCTGTAAAGTTGCAAAGACTAAAGTCTCAAATCCAAAGAGATATTCTTTATAAAAGTTAAGAGTTAGCCACACCTACCTAAAACGGCTCGTTCGAACACGCCCCCACATACCTACCTCACTATGTGGGAAGATTTGCATAAAGCCCCCAAATGTTCACGCAAAGAAAGAAGGAGTAACTTTAATTCTCGCTGTAGTATTGTTGCCGCCGCC